ACAAGTGCACGGAGGTCGTTACATGCTCTCTCGTCACCCCTCCTCCCCCCCATCAGAGGTATAACCTGGGTTTTACCCGCTGCGGCTCCACATTACTGCAAGCCACATGTACCGTGAGTACAGGCGGGTACTCCGGGACACCGTCTGTACCACAAGATAACCACACAACCCCCCTCCTCCCCCCCGGTCCATGAGCGGTCACGGCTCAAGCTCCGCCGGCCTCATTAGCATGGCAGAAGGGCAGGAGCATGTAGGCAGTACAAAGCTCACCACTCTCAGCCATCCCAGGCCTCATTGAGTGAGTGATACTCTGGCAAGGGAAGTCAAAAGTTTTCCACACACATAATTGTTCAACATATAAGCTTTATGGAAATATGAGGTTATTCTGTGTTATTTCCTATTATAGTATTTTATAGTCATTGTTGCTACTCTGCTATATATTCACGGATGTGCAGCACAACGCCACCTGATGGCCTTGTTACTCATAACCTCTGTTAAATAAATAAATAAATAATAAAAAAAATTCACTGTTTACATATGTGTAAATTACATGTCTGTATCGTTACATATGACTTAACAAACTGTTAGCACTGCAGGTTGTATGGAAAATTAATTTCCAGGGCAGGTTTCAGGGGTATGCTTATGCCAGTATTTTGTCATTTTGTTTATACAGGTCTACGTTCGTGTTCATGGACCTAGTTACAATGCAAGAAGTGTCTTGCTTTTAACTGGTACATGCATTTGGTATCGGGGCAAGTTTTCAAGTCATATCCTTACGTTGGTACATGCACAATAAGTCACAATCATACGGTTGTTACTCAGACATAATACGACACTCAGTGCACAAGAACATAAAGCTATGCTGGGTACAACGGTACCGAGCAGACATTTACCGTAATACCGTAACTTATTCTGACAGGTGTTACAGACTCAACAAGCCAAGCTTAGGCAGAAATTGGCTCATCAGATCCTACACCAGAACAATTTCTTACGTCATACAAAAGTATAGGCCTCCCCCTTAGCAGAATCTCAGACCACTGCAGAACACCGAGCATACATTGTTCATACAGGTACGTTGCTCCCGGTTCCGTAAAACACTGATTTAATATAAAGATTCATTCCATAAAAGCGAGTTAGTATGGCCACCTAGGTATTTCTCCAAGGCACCTCATGCATGAGAGATAGAGGTCCTGCGAGGCCAACACCCATCCTCCATGAAAGAGGTAAC